GTAATGTAGGCAAGCTATTGCAACCCTAGCATTCTTAACACAATGATGACAGTAGCTAGTCGACTTCAGCGACATTAAATTGTACATTCCCAAGAAGAAGAAAAAATAGTCTGCACTGAAAATATGCTAGTATATCAGTGCCCAGATAATATCAGTCACACCTTGCCTTCATCATCCAGGAACAAACATTTCCTCAAATAATAGTACTACATGGATAAAGGGAGCTATGGGCCTCAGAGAAGATTAGAGCCAAACAGGGGGATAGAAAGGCTCACTGGCACCATGATGATTGCTTTTAGCTTGTAGCAACATTTTCTCGAATAAAAAAGGATTACTTTCCCCGCAGTGTTCCCTTATCCTTTCTATATGATGAATTCCTAGATAGAATATTAAATTCCATTTCTCGAGAGTGCTATCCATTCTTTTTAAAAACATATCCACATCTAGATGCAACAGTTGTCAAGATGCTGCCACAGGCGTCATCTGCTCATGCTCATGCAATATGCTAATATCTCATTTGAGATAGCTGAAGCAATTTAAAGTAATATGCAGCAATCTTTACATCACTAATTCTTACCAAACAAATTGATTTCCTGCGTGCCATTATATGCTCAATGTTTAAGCACCCCTATGAGAGAGGCTGGAACACTGACATGTTACTATACCCTAGGCAGCTACATGCACGAGAACTATAAAAAGAACAGGAGACTCAAAGTTGTAATTTGGAATGCTTTGTAGTACAGTTCAAACCAAAATTTATGTACTATTTATATGATGCATTTTGCTCTCACAATCGCATGTCCAAATGCATGTAGATTTGGACATGTGGTTTCTCAGTTTGAAACAACCCTTTAATGTTGCCTGCTTTTCTGCTAAACAGCCTTCTCCGGAAGATTTTAAAAGAAAAATTTGCTTGGCAGCTGTTGACGGTTCTTTAGCAGCACTAGTACCAGCTTAAAGGTAAATCTGTGAGTTTTTATTAACCTGTTAGTAAACTTTGATATACCGTGAAACATTGAAGGAGTGCCCACCTCACTTTCACTGAACACGATGTTAATCTAGACATGGGCACTTTTTCGGTCAAATCGGGTGCTTGAAGTATAATTTGCAGAATTCCCAAGTTTTGGAAATGTTAGTAGTGGGTGCTTGAACGAAGTGGGTGCTTTCGCGGTATTTTGCAGTACATACAGTCGACCGGCCACAAAAATTTACAGGATCACGCAAGCCGTGGCCGAGCTTGTAGCAGTGCCTGTTGTCGAGACCTGTAATGCGCACAGGCGCGTCCTTTGGTATCCGCAGGCATGTCAACCCTCCCGTTTACGGCTGACGCCTTCTTTTGGTAGCTGCCGTTGGTCCCCATGCCACAGCTGTATTTCGGTGGCGCGATGAGTGGCAGAAGCCACAATATCAACTTATCTCCCGCCGTCCGGCATGTTATCGTTTTGCCCAGCTCACAGCATGGTATCATTTTGCCAAGCTCAGCGGCCAGAAAACAATCATTCTGTTCTTGTTTTGTTCTTTTACTGTATAGTGCACACCTTTTAAGTAAAGTAAACCCTAAGTAACGATGCGTCTCTCGTTTTTGCACTTTGTTCTTTGCACTGCCTTTACATTGTAACAAAAAAATAAATCTTGTCTTTTTAAACTTGCGATTGCACTTTCACAGAACATACGTAGCTTCGTCTTGACATCATGCCTTATCAGCACCAAAGCTGTCAAATAACAAACCAAGATTCACTATTTGACAGCAATAGACACCACGTGGTGTAAAAAGGAGCACCTCAATCTACAGCACTGTATTCAGCGAACATGCCCCCTCGAGTCCCCGTGCAAGACAGGAGGCAAATAGTGCAGCTGTTCCTAGAAGGTGTTCTTCAAAGAGAAATCTGCCTGCATACCGCAAGTTCGCGAACCTCGGTGAGTCGTATCATTCAAGCATACAGCGATGGAGGAGGCAAAATCACTGATGCTGAGCGCAGCGGGCACCCAAAAGGAACAACTGAAAAAGAAGACTGATTAATTTTGTTGCCGCGGTTGTGGCAGACCCGTTCTTAACCGCAAAAAAAAATGAAGGAGGCACTCGCTCTTGATCTGTCATGCGAGACAATACGAAGACAGCTAAAAGATGCGGGACTTAAATGGCTGCACAGAAGCCACACCTTTCAGAGAGGCAGAGACAGGAACGACTGAACTTTGCTCGGGCAGTGGAACAAGAAACAATGGATGGTTAAAGAGTGGCACAAAATAATTTTCACTGACGAATCAATAGTTCAGCATCCGCTGAGACAAAACAGCGGCGTGTCTGGCACCCGATGAACTCAAAATATGGAGAACATTGTCACTGCTAAGCAAAATAACTTGCTCAAGAATTGATGTCAGTAGAAGGAACAGACACAGAGAACGTCTCAAAAAGACGTTCTCTGTGTCTGTTCCTTCTACTGAAAGTTCTTCCGATTTCTTCCACCGCAGTCTCAGGTGTAATACGACATGATTAGCTACCACCAGCTCGCCCGCACTCTCACCGTCTTTTCAAGAATTGACTAACATAAAAAGGCATTTATATAAAAATGCTAAGATTGCTCGCTTACTTGAAGCCTTGTGGCAAGCAATACTCTTAAAGGGGCACTGACACCTCAAAGGTCGTTTTTTTTTTTTTTTTTTTTTGTCTAAAACGATGCAAGTTGTGGTCATAGACACGCAAAAAAATACCGCAACACAAAAAATATTTTCCCACGCGCACCCGCTCCTCACTTCTTTTGATTTGTGACGTCAGTCAAATATCATGAAATTTAGAAGCTTTGTAGGCTACATTTCTACAGCATTTAATAATGGCATTCGTAAAACATGTTTTTTAATGTAACTGCGAACGCACTACGGCCCTTCTTTTTGAAATACCGAACATCGAAGTCCGGTGTGATGTCGCCTCCTGGCCTTTTTATCCTCCCTCGAAAAACGTGGCAGCGCTCGACACACGTAGCACATGATGATTGGCGAGTCGGTGAATCGGACGAAGTGGTCTTTTTTAGGTGCCCGACGACCTCTCAGACTTCGAAAAGGAAATCGTCAAACGGTCAAAACAACTGGGTTTGGTGTCTGTATCGTAATTTCGGTTGTGACACCGTTGGGGCAGTCTTTCACACAAAATCAATGCGACGTGGCCCCTCACGTTGCTCACAAAAGTCCACTGCGCGTTCTCTTTGACCTCACACCATTTTAAAGAATTTGAGATGGCTGAAAGGGCCCTAAAAGAACTTCAAACTCGAAAGTCAAGCGTCGTCTGCTCGTAGCCGGTTGTTCGCGGGACGCCGGCGAACACAACACTTTGGAGGCATCAGAGAAACTCGACTCGCAGAACCGCTCAATATTTGACGTCACCGCACTGGCGCAGATCGTCCGGGAACTTCAAATTCGGCATTTGAAAATTGTTTTTTTACTTCACAAATACTAAATTCCCAAGTTTCGAATTTTGAGGGTAATGTCCAGGCATCGTTTTCAATCGTTTCGGATATTTATAAAAAAAGAATGATATTGACGTGTCAGTGGACCACTGAAAAGAAAACAAGCTTTTTTTTTAAACAGTCTGGTTGGGGCACGCGTGTCAAGAAATTAATTTTACGCAAAACAAATCTTTTTAGAGCAATATTGATGGCGCAAGATTTATTTCAAATTCTGCGCACAAAGTTCATGACGTCATGGAATGCTCATACACTCTTTCCACCTCAACGAGATGGTCATAAACTCTCTCCACCTCAACTTGATGGCCTAGCCGATCCACCTCTCTTCCATGTGCCCGAAATGCCCAGAGAAAACAAGTGGAAAGGAGGTGACTACCAACTAAATCACATCTCGCGCCGTCAATATTGCTCCAAAATATTTTTCTTTGCGTAAAATTAATTTTTTGACACGCATGTCCCAACCAGACTGTCTAAAAACTTTCTTTTTCTTTTCAGTGGTTCTTGAACATTTTAAGCCGTAGTTAAAAAAAGTTGCTATATATTGTAATGCTTGCAGAATGAATAAAAGCCTGCACCGATGGTTGTACTTTTTATCTATGAAACATTTCATTTGATGTTGATAGATGGCTACATTTACTCTTCCGTTTCTGTATCACCAGCAATGGTTGTGGTAAATCCAGGACTTTCAGATGACTGATGAATATTTCCCTCCTCCTCCTCCTCCTCTCTAGGTCCCAGCCATGCTATATGCAAGGTGTGCTCAGCACACAGCAGTGGCCGTTGCTCGGTCAGTGTTTGGGGCGCCATTAGTAAGTATGGGCGTGGGCCACTCGTAAGAATTAAAGGGCCTCTTCAAAGTATTGCGTTACCGCAACATCCTCACAGACAACATGACGCCGTATGTCCTTGATGGCCATTTCAAGGACGGCTGCTACCTCCTTCAACGGGACAGAAGCCCTACCCATACAACGCGTGCTGTGACCACCCTGCTTCAAGAGTGCTCTGAGTGCCAGCTGCCGTGGCTGCTGAATGAAGTGAACCTCAACCCCACTGAGAATGTGTGGGGCTTCATCAAGACGTTTAAGAATGGAGAATTGTCGGTGGCACGGCGGGTGTGCTGCGGCTAGCCATCGCAGATGAATGGGAGGCACTTTGAGCACACCTGCGACAAGTCACGTCGCTTTGCGAGTCTATGCCAAAGCGAGTTCAAGTCACTGATAACGACGGCAAGTTCAGCTTGTACATATTAGCCGTAATTCCAGTGTAAAGGCAACATTTTTTTTTATGCACAATGCATTTTTTCAATAAAGCATCCCGTATGCAGAATGCAATGTCACAATCAGGCACGTAGCCAGGATTTTGCTTCGGGGGGGGAAGGGGGGCCCACCCATGACAAAATGCTGTATGAGGGGGAAGGGAAAGAGGAGGTGCCAGCAAAATGGAATATTTTGAGGGGGGCCCAGGCCCCATGGGCCCCCCCCCCCCCCCCCTGGCTACGTGCCTGGTCACAAAGCATTCTGTATATGGGACATTTCGTCAATCAAATGCCAGTTTTTATTTTATTGGTTTGTTTTGAAGAAAATAAACTCACACAAACAACTTTCATACTTTTTGATTTACCTATCTCGTCATTTGGGGGGCAAAAGACTCCTCCCCTAATAAAGAAAAAAAAAACAACAACAGAATGGCAATTTTCCTGGCCGCTGAGCTAGGCAAAACGTTATCGTGCTGGATGGCAGGAGATGAGAGTTCATATCACGGCTTCTGGCACTCATCGAGCCACCAAAACACAGCTGCGGCAGAGTGTCCAATGGCAGCTATTGAATCGTGAGAATAGGGCATAAGCCGGAAGCGGGAGAGTTGGCGTGCCAGTGAAAAGCAAAGGACGCGCATGCGCGCACGACGGGACTTGGCAACAGGCGCCCCGCCGCAAGGTAGAGCGGCGATGCAGGTCGGCCACGGCTCGTGTGACCAGTAAACTTTTGTGGCCGTTTGTGCCTCTGATCGACAAATCCGAGAATGGAAGACCACCATCCTCTAGATGTTTAGAGTCATGGTAGGTACATGGAAACACAAAGGTACAACCCTGAAAGGCAATCAACAGATTGACAAAGGCTTCTTTAAAAAATACTGCAGAGACTTCATTGTCTTATACCTGCTACCAGATTTTAAAAAATCAAGACCGAGAAATGCGATAGCATGTGCCATGCGTCACGTATGGGAAGTGATGCGAGCTAAGGTAGGTGGGATTAAATCCAGCCATCATAGAAGACAAAAAGCCAGTGGGTAAATGTCAATCGGGCAGGGCCGAGACCGAAGCAACCGGGAGTCAGCCATGTGTCTCACACTTCATGTCCCAAAAGGAACCACGTCTCAGGTGGAATCAGCAAGGGTGGCCCGTTTGCGCTTGCGGTGGTTGATGACCATGGCCGCCATGCCAATGCGATGCGACTGTCGCTTCTGCCAGTGCTGCAGGTCTTCAAGGGCCTTGTGACCCAACACAAAGAGTGCCCGCTCGGTGAGGTCCATGCGTGACGTCACGTCCAGGGCGTCCTCTCGCGGGCTGCCTTGAGAGCAGTCCATGATGTGCCGGAAGCGGCTTTGGAAGGCCTGCACACATAGATGCAAGGACGCCACATAAGGGGAGGCAATGTTTCCTGCTCCACTGTCCAACATTCATGGCAGTGTCCATACCCTTACGATCGGTATGAACCCTTTCATAAAAGCAGTCCTCTTTTTTTAATTATCCACTGGAAACTGAAACCAAGAACTGCTGCAAAGAGAAAGCTGTAAAACAATGACTATAAGCCAACACTCATCAAGGTGCCCAAGGTTTGAACTTTCCCATTACTTATGCATGATTTGTTTCGGGCAAGCATGTTCCTCCGATTTTAACACAACAGCTAGATTTTTATTTGGGACTTTCCTTTTCCTCACTATTTGAGACAGTACACAAATAATGCAACCATAAAAAATTTCGAGATGAGCTTGGCCATCGGTAAAATCCAGGGGGAACTTTTCTTCAGAGCGCCCGTCTGCACTTTCTAAAAAATCTCATTCCACATAATCTACTCTAATAAAGAATGCAATATTTTGAATTGTCAGCAAAAGCTAGACTGAACTTGTTCACAAAATTTCTATATAAAACTTCTCATGTAAACGTAACTCAAGCTCCTGTACAGCAGCATAGCTATGTCCTGCAGGGGTGGACGCAGGTATTTCTAGGAGTCAGCATATCATGTTTGAAGAACATCCACACCACCCGTTTCTCCGCCCTAAATTGTTGCATATGCAGAATTCAAGAGGGGGCCAGGACATCCGGAACCCCCTCTGAATCCGCCACTGTACACAGGGCGTTTTCAGAATACATGACAAATCGTTCATGCGAAAAGTATACACTGCACAAAAAAAAGAGTTAATATTGTATTGGTCTCTGCCCAGAAAAAATTAATAATATTGAATATAATTAGCTTATTAATTACTTTTGAGTAATCAACTTGTTAATTAGTAAATTTAAAGGTATGGCTTAAATTATAAAATTTCTGGGTATCATTCTAAAGCACTAATGGCGAGTTTGTTTCACACGCACTGGCACCATTCGAGTTCTCTCCCAGAATGCATCACACTCGTGGAGTGTTGTATGGACAACTGGCCAAATCCACAGAGTGTAGAAGACTGATGCTGCCGCCATCTATGTTGTAGAAAGAGTACGACCTCAAACCGAAACTAGCGCCTTTCTGTTCGACGTGATGGGTGGGAATGCAAGAGTGCAGTCGCTACCAACGTTTATCTATAAACGTTAGTCGCTGCAACCTGTAGTTTTTATTTGCAATGATTTCAAGCAACTCTGTTGCCTTAAAGATATTTACAGACGGCGTAAATTTTCGCAACTGGCTGACTACAAAGCAGCTGGGGCTTGCACTGGAGAAAACTGATGATGCTGTCTGCGCAGAAGCTTGATCCGTCTGAGCATGGTATATGTGAACCACTGAAAGGGAACTGCTTAAAACTAGTCTGCTGGAACATCCAGCAAAACGTTTCGTGGGACTTTCCATTTCAATCGTAGTTACAGGCAGATCAGATTTCAGCCTAGGTAAGGGTGTCGATAACGAGGGCTTTCTCAAACAAAATACGACGGGGCAAGATAGCTGACAAAGGTAAATGTTAAACATGCAGATGCTGCCCAAGCTTCCGGTAAAATCCCGATGTTTAGCTTTCTCGCATGCTTATTGGGCAGTCACAAGTTTCTGCTGGGGGAGCTTTGTCGACAAATGTTCAATTTTTCACCTGCACACAGATGGTAATAAAGATCTCGGGGGCCGCTGATGCGTTTGCTATTTATCCACTGGTATATTTCAGCGTCTGTACGGCAACAGAGCGACTAAAAACTTGGCAAATAAAGCATGGGTTGTCAATTGCTCCCTTTGTGAAATAGGAGACACTCACAATTCAAGCTCACATTTGATTCGGTTGCCCGCGGGGACACGATTTCTATCAGAAAATCTACCTTTTTCCTTTCGGTTCTGCTGTACGAATGACACATCATAGCAGACGACCCCTCGTCGTCTGCTCCTGCTCTTTGCCAGAGCGAGGCATGACGGGATCGCATTTTAGCGGACGCTCGATTTTCTTGGTGCAGCGAGTGTATGCATGCGTAGGGTGCTGGGGCTGAAACGAACTTGGAGAGTGCAACCACTCGTGAAGTGCCGGCCCAAACGAACTCGCTCAACGCTACGAGTGGGCACACAAGAGCACGAGTGCTGTGAACCGAACTCGCTATAAATCAGTCTTCTTTACAAAAAATATAGGAAATGCGGAGCATTTTAGGGCATAAAAAAAAAGATATAACTTTTGGACATGTTTTAAAGTTTTTGTTTTCTATCGGAATGCACTCTTGAGCAAGCGGTCCTGCTCCCCCGTGGCCATAGTGCACAATTACCACTTCGCCTCCTATGTTGGAGGGTAGGATGCGTGGTGCTCACCCATATGAAATGAAATGCTGTGCTCTTAGGATGACATTGCAAGAATAAGCATTGATTATTGGGTTCACCTGCCATGCGAAGAATGCGTGGCACCACACGTTAGTTGCATGTTTTGGTCACGAGCAGCAGGACTACTGCTGCAAAGACGCACACCAATAAGAAACCGAAACCTAGAAACACCTCCAAAATTAGCGTTTTTTCTTAATCTAGTAAAATGCTGCACATACCTGATATCTTTCTAAAGTGGATTGATTCGGTGATTTTAAGCAATGCCCAGCAACTTCCTAGCTGAAACTATGCCTTTAAAGGGATACTGAACCAAAATTTGGATTTCACAAAGTAAGGCTGCAGAAGTGTTGAACGGGACACTATGAACTCCAAAACATCACTCGTACATCGATATCTCAAACGGATGGCCGTACTTTTGGAAAAGAAGGGCGCGATCAAGTGAGTTCTTTGACGTAACTGTCCTCCAGGAGAATTAGAGAATGAGGAGAAGCAGCCTCGCTTCTCTCCTCCTCGCTTCAGTTCACCAGCTTGATGGGACGCAGCAAGGATGAGAGAGAATGGAAATCGTGACGTGCCTTGTCTCGTCGGCTGGGTTCAATCGCGCACTTCTTTTCCAAAAAAATACAGCGATCCGTTAGATATATCACCGTAAGAGTGATATTTTTTGGTTTTGCAGCTTCCCGTCTATCCGCCCAGCCTTGTTTAGGGAGCTCGAAATCTCGGTTCAGTATCCCTTTAAAAAGACTAATTGAAAAGTTAATCACTCAAAAATAATTACCAAATCAATAACTGTGAAAGTTGTTAATTTTTCCGAATAGGCCCTTTGGAAGAAACCAATACATCAACTTTTTTTCTGTGAGGAGCATAAATTGAGCAGAAACAATTTGGCCAGACTTCAGTGAAACATTTTGCATACAGATCATTCCAACAGTCACCTTCTGTATTCTACTATCTCTGTTATTGAGTTGTGGCTTCTGTTCCGAGCATGAGCAATTGCTCTCTTCTTGGAAATACTATATAGGGAGTGTGCATCCACAGCCCTGTGATTGGATAACTCTGTAGAGTAGAAATATGGTGTAGTTTGGTTATCATTGAGTATGGAGGATGAAATCACTTTTTCTGCTTTCAATACAATGATCTAGGACCTTAGAGACAAGTGCTACACCTTTCTAAATGGCTCAGAAATAAGTGATCGCTTGTTTGACTGTGGAAACAGCTTTGTGTACATCATAAAACAAACCATTGCCAACCTTTCCTATACTCTATACAGCGTCCCTTTGATGTATGCTGCAAGCAAATACTGAACGGGTCCTTCCACTACACAAAATCAGCAACAAACATATTTCTGAAAAACAAAAAAACAAAATATTTACTGTAGGAAACATGTTCACATGCTAATGAGAGATTTATTCTATGCTACCAAAAGTGTTGTGCACTTGACGGCTTTCTATTGCAGTAACCTTTCACATCTGTTTACGTCAAAAACAAATTCTCAAAATGACAACCTTATAGTTTCCCTATAAAGTGCACCCTGAAAATAAATAAACCTTAAACTCTACAGCTTAAACAGAAAACTGCCAGTGTCAAAAATAGAAAATAGGTTAAAACCTGATACACCATTTCTGGAAATTGATTCCAAGTGCAGGGTGTTTTTGTCGAAATCTTCGCTTCAAGTTCTTCGGATGCATACTCTTACCTAGAATCAAGCAGCATGTCAGTCCCGAATGAGTACAATCACAGACCTTGGAGAAGAGTGGCCAGAGAGTTTGGTCAATTAGTCGGTAGCCATGGATTGTCACAATGTGTTTGTTCTATTCAGGTCAGAGCTTGATGACAGTGCCCACAACTACACTGGCAGTTGTTTTTGGTTGAATCTTTAAAAAATGCAAGAGCATCTTGCCTTCCTTGTTGCAGAAATATTTTGTTTGAGAACAATTCCATTTCTGGCATCAAACGGAGCAGAAGGCTATTAGGGTGCAAATAAAAATTTTAAAAACTCTAGATGATTATGTTAAAGAGTACTCAGATTTTGGCTTATGTTCACACTCACGGTCAGCGCATTGCAGGTCCCGTCACATTATGATAAGCATGAAGCATCATAGGGTGTATATAAATTGTAAATAAAAAATCAAATGAAGCTAAACAATTTATTAGAAACTTAAAAAATGAAGCTGCTGCTGGGGATGGAAGAACGAAATCTATAACTAGAAAGCAGACCACGGGCATTATAAGTCCCTGCAGAACAAGCACCAATTGACATCAAAGATAAAGTTAATGAAAATATTAAAAACAAACTGCTCACTTTTGGTTTAGTTTTTGACTTAAGTGTTTGATACTGTGCAACACAATGTTCTATTAAAAAAGCTTAGAATCTATAGGGTAGAAGAGTTTCACCAAGACTAATAAAAACAAATTTTTCAGATTGTTATCAATATGCATATAAATGATCATTAATCTAATAAAGTGAACATATGACACTGAGTTCCTCAAGGCTCCATTTTAGGGCCTCTATTATTCCTCATGTATGTTGACGACGTTACGGCAATACCAGGTTCCCATGACCTAATAACGTAAGCAGACGACAAAAGTATATTCTTTGCTGGTGCGACGGAAAAGTGT